AAGAATATGCAACCTCTAGACAACATCCAACGTAATGGATGAGATAATCTTCTCTGATGGGACTCGAACTAAAGAGCTGTGGGTGGCTGACAAAAGATTTAGAGGCTTTTCGCTAACCATTGGACCATAGCTGCTTCTATCTGGCTTAAAAACATTTGACTTTAGTCTCGTAGGCACCTTAAAGGTTTACTAAGTTTTGATCACGTTTCTGTATGTTTAAATAGTATGAAACCGATCAATATAATCATAAGTCAGTTTGCCAGATCCACAACATTGACATGCACCAAGTCCATGATTTTTCCCAAAAATGCAAAGCATTTTTCTGACCACAGAACACCATTCTGTCTCAAAAAATTCCTAATTTTGAACCATTATCAAATTTTTGAGTCTCCTGCTTTGAACCCCATCCAAATCAACCTCCAACACCCAAAATCTAATCAAAATTTGTAATCTATTTTCACTAATGTCTAATCAATTTTTACCTTTTTAGTCATTCCCACTTCTCACCAATTTTAAACATTCCTCAAAATTTTAATGTTTGCATACCATTAAATACTAAGGTACAAATGTCACCCTGAGGCACCCCATGCATTGGTCAAAATTGAAAGAAATTAGATATTTAGTGCATTTGACACGAAAAAAATGTGTAATTGTTTTATGGCTGTCTACTTTAATGGCTCAAAAATTATTTGACTAATGAAGAATGGCTGGAAGGGTTTTGTTGATTTTTTTTTTTTGATGAAAACATCAGTCTTTTAAGTGGACATAATTGCTCAAAAATCTGCAACAATTTCCTTCATTATTTTTAAGTCGAATTAGGTGTTTTGAAATGCTGGACATGATCATGGAGCTGATGAATGGATTCAAAACTTGCAAATTTATATGAAGGGACTGGAGCTACCCCTTGGACCAAATCAACACTCAATATGAAGCCACATTGCACAATCATTACAGAAAATTAAGCTAAAAAAGGAAAGAGACGTCGACAATGGATTTAGACAAGAAGTAAAAATATTTTCTTTCCTCTTCTGTTTCTTTTCTTTTCTATCTCGAGATCAAGAGATTTACTTTATTTTATTTTATTCTCTCTACTCACATGTACATGCGGATGAAGACGAAGAAGAAGAAAAGGATGAAGGATAAAAAAGGGATAAACTTCTTCTCTCAAACATTAAATTGTGACATTCTGTGTGTGTATTATTTCATGTTTGTTGTTTTATTCTTTATTTATTTCAATATTTCTTTTTTTTATCGTTCGACATACAGCAGTACTCTTTAAGAAGGTAATAGCTCAATTTCTGTTATAGTGGTTCATTCAATCGAAACAGGGGAATGACATATTTATTTTTTTTTTGTATTATAACGTTGCAGGAACGGAATAATAAAAAAAAAATTGAAAGGGTTAAAAAAAATTCTCATTTTATAATTGCACAATGTGTACATGAACATTAAAGTTTTTTTTTTCATGTATATTCTGTAAAATTATTTTAACTTGTATGCAAGAACGCGTAAATGTAAGTAGAGTAAGAAGTGAAACTATTATGCCAATGTCAATGCAATTTTCTTTCTTGTTTTTTTGAGTTGTTTTGGGCTTTATTTGCGGAAGGGACAAGTTTTATGAAGTTCAATTTTTTTTGGAATTTCCCAGTTAGAAATTATTTTTTTGTTTGATATTTTTTGAGGTGATGATCCTGATGATCCTCATAATTTGTTGTCTGTTGGTCGTAACTTATGATAATTCTTACTATTTGTTTTGTGTGAAGCATGTTCATGTCATTGAGTCATTTCAAACACTCTAAGATTGATGCATGGATGTCAATTAAGAAATTTGTTCAAAAAACCCAACAACGTCTTGAAATCACGCATATTATGTGTCAAAATTACGTATTGTAATCTTAAATTTTTATTGTTTTTTGGTGTCTTTTGTTTAAATTATTTGACTGCATTTTTTATGAAATCTTAAACATTATTCATCTAAATCAGGACTGTCCAAACTTTTTGAGTCACAGCCCACCTTAGGAGTAAGCCATGATCAAAGTTGGCACATAGTTTAGACAATACTGATCTAAACAAACAAGACACTAGGATAGGGTGATGAATAAGGCTGTAAATACCAAGAATGTTTCTTTTTGAGTGTTTAAGGATCAAAATCAATTTTTTTAAAAGACTCAAATTTTGGTAAAATGCTGCCATAACTACACACGCACTGAAGATCTCATAAACGAACATTGAAATGCAAAGTCGTCAAATAAATAATTTTTTGTTCAAAATTAAGTCTAAATGGCATTTGAAGTCCAATCTTCCAAAAAATCACGCATAACAACTCAACCTAAGTACCATCACCTCCGCCCATACAAATTTCCCATTAAATAAATTAATTATGAAGATAATTATGCGATTAATTAATTTATTACATGAGCCATTATTACTTTACACATATCCATTGAGTAGCTATTATTCTATTCATAAAGAACGCGTCACGTAACTACTGATAATTGTTTTTGTATGAATCTCTTTTTGTGTATTGTGAATGCATAAAAGCTATAAAATGCAATTTCCAGCAAATAATGAACATTTTGAGTGACGCTAAATTATCAATTTCTGTTTGAGTGTGTGAGTTATTTTGTGAGGAGTTGAGTTGAGCGAGGAGGGTTGTGGTTGGACTCAGATTTGTTGAACTTTTGATATTTTTTTGAACTGGACTAGTTCATTTTTGATGAGTTTGAAGGGAATTGGATGAATTTTTTACGGACTTTTTTGTGGATTTTTAAGTTAAATTTTGCACTTTTCTTGTTTTAAGTGAGTATTTTGAAATTATTTGGCAACTAAGGTAAGAATCTAAAATTTGGAATTTTAGAAAATTTAATAATTTTTTTAAAGAAACTAAAATGAAAACCGATCAAAAAACATAAAAACCACACACATAAGTTTTTGATTAAAATCTCCTTTGATTCCCATCTCAATTCCAATAAAAGTAATAATTGTGAACTAGAAAACTTGATCGCTGATTTTTATTGCCAATAAAATCCATCACATGGTCCGATTTGCCATCAATAACATAGTTTATCCTATCGCAAAAATTACTCAAATTTTTATTTATTTTATAGCTGCATAAAGTGGCATTAAATTCTTTTAAATTCTTAACGAGAAATAAATTTCATCCAAATTGTCACTTCTTCTTGATCAATCAAAAGCGATCATCGCTTAACAAAAAATCCTCTTAAAAAGATCATAAAAAAAATTATATCTGAAAGTATGTTTTGAGTCAATAAAAGTAAAAGAAATTGCGAGAATTGTATAAAAATTTGTTGAAACTTAAAATGAAAATGTAATGGTAATTAAAATTAAAATTATGTGTGCTGAAGAGATAATAAAAATCATAAAACTTTCTTTCTTAATAAACGAACTTTTAATGCCAATATTTGCCGAGATCCAGCTGCTGATCAACAATAAAAAATATTAATGATTGTGAGGATTTACTGATACACAGTAGCTAAAGCAGCTGAGAAGAAGTTATGTAATAATTTTATTTTTCTATTATTAATATCTTTATATGGTAATTAAATTAATTTAATTTATAATAATTATTATCAGACTAGATAATTTACCTTATTAAAAATATATAAATGGAGTGTGTGCTTGTGTAGAAATTATTGGCAGATAGTGGCTTTTAATAGTTTACTGATGACTACTTTTTTATTGAGGAAAATTGTGGTTATTTCTATCATCAGATGCAGAAGTGTTTTAAAATTGCTGTTAAGGATTTTTAATATTTTATTAAATTAATTATTCTGCGACTTGAGGCTTAACATTGTTATTGAGTGTTTGATGAGCAGGTTATAATGGCGCTGGATCAGTTGCATAAATATTTCCAATCCGTTTACATTTAGATCAGTGATCTAGTTATGTGTAAAGCTTCTACTTAAAGCAAGCTTATTGTTATGTAATGTAATGTTTTAGAATTTCAAAGGCTTCCTTTAAAGCCATTTTGATCAAGCAATTCTTGATAAACGGTTGGCAATAAAATTTATTGAAAGTTCTGTAAGGTTTAAAAATTGTTTGATAAATTTTTTGGAATAAGATTGGATGGAATTTTGACTGAATAGTAAAGCAGCATTAATACCAAATATTTGAAATTTGACAACTAACTTGCTGAATTCTGTGGTTGTTAATATTAGCTTATATTAAGGATTTGATTTAAAATCATCATTTCATCGACATTTATAACTAGATCCAAAGCTAATCAGCCAACTTTTAAGACTCAATTGACAAAAATACATCAAAAAGCTATTGAATTAAAATTTAAAATCGAATCATTAATTTAATCAAAATTGAGCATGATTAATATTGTAATCCATGATTCACATTTCAAAAAAAATTAATTCACTCAATGACAAAAAAATTAAATTTATTTAAATTTCCAATAAATCATCAATTACATTTCATCAGCTTCATTATATTCAAAAATAAGTTCATTCATCAAAACTCATCAGACCCTCAAAAAAGAGACCTTTTCAAAGCAGTCCCTTCCATAAAACTTAATGAAACTCAACAAAACGTAAATCAACTTATCCTTATAATCTAATCCCTCCTTAAAAGTAAGAACAACTGGGAAAAACACACACACAATCTGCATTTGGTAAAGTTGATGCAATAAATTTTAAACGTTCAACAAGGATCTTTGGCTTCCCATCTTTATATTTTCGGGAAGAAAAGAGAAAAAAGAAGGAAAAAAAAATATTTTCTGCCTTAATTGCCTGCTTCAGGTGTAAAAAGGACATGAACTAGGTAGAAATTAAATTTTTTTGCCTAATGCACATTTTAGGAAGGAATGAACATCTTTTAAATATTTTCTTTTGCCTTGTTATGTCCTTGGCAATTGCTCAATTACACACAAACTAGACATGATAAAAAATTTTCCACATAATTTCAAGTGCTAGATTGCCTTATACTTAAAAACTTAGTCACAAAATAAGCAAAAACTTATTGTAAATATTCACCTGTGTCACATTAGCGGCAACCCATGCTTCAGCGAATGTCTCCATTGCACTTTGAAAATCCATAGCACGTCCAAGAGCTGATAGTGAATCAACCATATATGATTATTTTTATTTAAACAAATCTTTTGCGAAAAATATCTTTTAAATATTTTAAATTATTATTTTATTTTGTTAAATGTCGTCTTAATTAAGTTTCGTTCATTTCACTTAGAGAATCGCTTTAGCTCCAATAAATCCAATTAACTAGAATAATTTTATTATATTTTTTTTTATTCGCTCTCTTGTCTTATCTTTTACTGCCTTCTAATATTTCTCTGTTCTGAATCACAATATTATTCACTTATTTCCTCTTTAATTTCTTCACACACAATGTAAATCTGTTCATGACTTTACTTTATTTTACACTCATTTTTTTTTGTAGCTCTGTGATTAACACTTTATTTATTAAAAAAAATTGTTTCTTTATCTTGTTCAAACAACCTGGGGTTTTTGTATAATGTAAAGCTATATGAAATAAAAGTTAGTAAGTGCTCATATGCCTCGGCACTTGTGAATGAAACCGACTATAGTCGTCCGTTCACATCAACGTCTGTTGTGCAACTGTGTCGGCAAACGAATTTAGGAAAATAAAAAAAAAATAATATAACACACAGAGCACAAAATACACACAGTAAAATCCGAAGCACTTCTCCGCTTGTTTTTTTTTCTTCTTCTTCTTTTCTTTCGTATAACACACAATGTGATACAGTCAGTTCACTGGTTGGATTTCGAATAAAATACGAGAAAATAAAATTTTCTTTTTTTGCTTCTGTGATTTGAAAAATCTATCCAAATAAATGCAATGTGCTTGATGATAAAAATTATTCTATGTACTTGAATCGGTGTAGGTTTTTTTTCTTCTTATTTTTCGAGTATATAAGAGTTTTTCAATAAGTACTGCTACAATAGGAATATTGGAGATAATGTGATACAATTTAGGTATGGAGTAATTTTTTTTTTGAAGACTTTGGATGACTTCAATGGGGTTTTTTTTGCTTATTGAAATTTTTTATATTTTATATTAATTTTTTTAGAGCAAAGTTCTGTTGGATGGAGGCGAGGTTGGGTACTACTGAGAGATCTTTAGGATAATCCTCAAATTTGATCTTCTTCAAAGTTAAATCTAGAAAATTTCATCAACTTTGATCTTAAAATCCTTATTAATAGGAACTTCAAAAAGCTTCTTTTTAGACCTCATATTCTCTTTTTTAAAACATAAACGTGACGAAATACTGACATCTTCTTAATAATTGCAGTTGTTGAAGTTCAATACCGATTACCTGTGCCTCAATTTTTGAACAGTTGTTGCATGTATTGAAGAAGTATCTAATGCTTGATCTTAGTGGCGCTTAATTTATTTTATTTTTTGTAAAATTGTCTAAAAATAAAGTTAATCTTTTGTGCTTAAACTTTGATGGCAGGCGATAAAAAAATTTAAAATTCATGAAAAATTAATTTCAGTCAAAATCAGAGATTTAAAATTTTTTTTTTGTTAAAAACTGTAATCATTCAACAAAGTCCTAAGGCTATTAATAATAATCAATTGTCAATCGCCAAATTTTTGAAATTAGTTGCTTTAAAGTAAAATTGAAAAATAATATCAAAATAAAATTTGTTTTTCCAATAAATTTGCTGAAAGTTGTGAGCTTATGCGCACATACAAAAGTTTCAATTCATTTTGAATAAAAGCTTAAAAGTTGTGAAAAGGGCAGAATTAGCGAATATTTCTATATTCGGTCATTTCATATTTGTTTTAGAAATCATTAAAAATTTACAATGGAATTGAAATTTTCAATATTCAAAAATATTACAGCTTAAAAACGTTGCCTTTATAAACTATTTCCAATGACAGAATATTTAGAATTCCCCCAAAACTCAAAAATTCAATAATCACTGCCATTCATTTCCACCACGCTGTCTATTCCATTGAATGTAGATACGATTTTGTAAGTTTCTAATAATAATTCTGATGGGAATTTAAGGTGTTCTTGGAAACAACCACAATATCAACCTATTTTTCATTTATCAAACAACATTATCGAGTAATGATAACAAATTGTCAAAAAAAAATTGAATACGTAGACTTAGTGACTAACATACATTACCTTCAAATCAGTTTCCTTCAAATAAAAAAAAAAATACAAGAAAATAAACTCGTGTTTGTGTTTATTTCAAAACATTTATTTTGTGAACTGGATTTTTATGATTGAGGAGTATAGTAACCTTAAAAGTCGCTGTCCGATTAGTTCTTCTAAAGCTCTTTGGGGGTTGTTCGGAAATAAGGTGCAATTTAAAATTGTTTCTTGATATCTTTCACTTTATAGCATTGCTAGTGAAGAAAATTAAGCTAATCTGAGGCTGTTGAAGTTATCTCGATCAATTTTGAGGAAGATCGAGCTGTCCTCTCAAAGATTGAACCATTTTGAGCTGAGGCGAGATTTATGTAGACAACAGTAGAGATTAGTATCTAGAAGGAATTGAACACACGTCCATAGTTTCACTAAAGTTACAAATTCCTGATCTGTCGTTTAACCACTAAGCCAACAAGGTTTGAATCTTATTCTCTCACTTTAACAGACTGTTAAATATGAATCAAAAGTAAAAAGACTCTGTCTCAAACACCAAAGAAATCATAAGCAAATAATCCCCAAGATTCCTTCTTTCAAATTTAATTAAAGTTTAACATTTAGAATTTCTTGATCTTTGTCTTCAACAAACAGAAGAAATTCCTGCAAAACTGATGATTAACACCTTAATTTTAGGACTTAAGACTTGAATTAATGCAAAGCTGATTAAACATTATTAGCGTTAAGAGTCTTAAGTCAGCCATAACTTCGATGATAATAAGAAAAAAAAAAATTTCTTCTCAATCTAACGCAGGAATGTTTTAAAAAAATATTAATAGATTGAAATTCTGCTGTTTTTTAAATCCACGGCACGATTTTATTGTTTGAAAATAAATAAAATTGTAAATCTTTATGGAGATTAGATTTAAAATATCACATTAGAGTCGATGCTTATGAAAATGTGTTAAGAAAGTTGACGAAGATATGCAAAAGCGGATAGCTTGATGATAACAATTTTTAATACCTGAAATTTTGTTTGGTTATTGATAATTTATTATGCACGTGTGAGTGTCTGGCGATTAAATGATTATAAAAGGGATTATCAATGTCCTAGATTCAGGTAATCAAATGTAATAAATTAATTTCATCAATCAACGCGGAATGGCTTTATATTTTCCTTTGATGAATGATTGATATTCTAGGAAATTATAAAAAATTATGAAATTATTTTTTTTTGTTGAGGTTATTTCAATTTATTTTATGGATGGAGTTTTAGGTTTGAAAATAAAGTTGAAATAATATTTTATAAATTTTATGACATTTCTGAATCCTTTTTTTTAAAAAAAATTTTAAAAAAATTAAAATTTCTATATTTTGTGTTTTAAACCAATTTTAATTCTTTTAAAGTTTTAAATTTTATAAAAAAATTTGTTTTGTTTGAACTAAAATTTTTGTTTTTAATTTTTAAAATTCTTTGTTTTATAAAATTGAAGATAATCGTTAAAATTATCAAATTCTAAACTGATTAAAAAATCAGTTCTAACCTAGAATCATTTTATATTTTGAACTTATTATGTGAATGCTAAGTGAATGTCCATGCTTTTTAAATTCAATTAAAACTTAAAGTTTAAAACACAAAGTTCAGAGATTAGAATCTCATCTAGATCTTTCAAAAAATTAATTTTTTAAATTTTATAAAACATTAAAAGATTTAGTCTGACCCAAAAATTTAAAACTATTTAAAATTTCCCGAAAAAACCAAACATGTTCCTCACAAAATCATCGTAATATCCACAACTTCTTGGTTCATAAAAATTTCAAAAGACTTCATCTACAACATTTATCATTTTTCATCATAAATATCATCAATAGATGCAAGAACAAAAGCATAGCAATGCAGGAAATGTAAAGAAGTTGTAGGAAAAACTCATCTCGTATCATTATCGGATAAACTCGGTTATGTTATTTCAGTGCGCACTTGTGTATAGCTTTGTGACACAATATCAATGTCAATGTATTGGTGTGAGAGAAAATGTGGCAGCAACATGTGACATGCGACGTAAGACAAAAACCGAAAATATATCTCATATGGATAAGAATCTCATGCTTCTTCATGTTATAGAAGTAAATTTTTTTTCTATCTCTAATCATCAACCCTCTTTTGTTGTAGATGTATATAAATAGGAGATTGAGCGCAGAGCACATTCCGCAACATTTTTTTTTCTCTCTCTCTCTTTCGCATCACAATTCCCTTATTTTGACTTGTTGATGAATTTGACGTGCGCATTAAATAAAATCCTCGGATGAGAAACGAAAAAGTAGTGTTGAAAAAAAAAATTTTTTGGGACCCATTGCTGTCTGTTTGGATACAAGACAATTCCAATACTTTATCATTATCCAATAATATTACGGCAAGCATAAGAAAGCCGACTCCTGTCACATGATGATAATGTATATTTTCTTCATTATTCTCTTTTTAACGTACATTCATTGAAGATCTCTGCTTCGAACTCTTTATTGTTGTTGTTGTTGTTGTTGTTGTATAAAGACATTTGTGCATAGCACACAAGAGAAGAAAGACGATAAAAGCAAAATACACAAAAATCTCATTTTCGATTAAAATAAAACACAACATTTTTTTTCGCTTTGCTGTGCTGTGCTGTGTATATATATTTTTTTAAATAAAAAATATCTCCGCCCATCTCTCCCATAAAAGCGATTGCGATTGGACTAAACTCCCGCTTGCCGCTTTTACTTAAAATTGCACAATAAATAAAGCCAAAATATTTTTTTTGTGTGTGGAAAGCGATATTTCTTTATGTCTTATTCTTATTCTTCTTGCCGTTCCTTCACTTGTACTTATTTTCATTAATTTATGTTCTTCTTCGTGCAATTTTATCCTGCATGAACTGAACGAAAAAAAAAAAATAAGAAGCTGTACAAAAAGTGTAATAAATTTGCTTGGTTCCTTCTCGATTTTTATTTTTGGCTCTTCTTATTCTTCTACATAACTTCATTCTGCTCCCTTCTCTCGCTCTCACTCACTTGCTTCTCTGCCTGCGTGCTAAACGTTATAGCTTTGATATTTTAAACATTTTTCATTTTTATGTGACAAATGTGTGTATTTTGTTGGTGCTGTTATTATTCTTATGTTCATGTAATCGCTTTTGCTTGTTTCATTGCAAATGAATGATATATACAAGCAGCAGTGCTTCTGCCCTTCGGCTAATTTTGGATGGTAATTTTCGGTGGACGGAAATCTGATGAAAACTGAAACGATTTAACTTGATTACATAATCGCTATGAGAGAGGTCAAATCAATGTCATGTTGATTGTTTGAGATGAGTTTTGGAGATGACTGATAAGGATGTGATGAGTTTTGGAATGGATTAGGGTTTTGGAGTTATTTTAGTTGTTTTTATATTAATATTTTTGGATTGAATCTTGTGTTTTTACAGTGACATTTGCCTTCAATGAAAAAAATGAT